ACTCACGGTGGTTTCGACCCAGAGGCGCATTGAACGACCTGCCCGCAGCCATCCGGCCGAAAGCGGCTGCATCTGTTTCTTTTGTTGTCATACATCCTGGCACTCTGCCGCAAGTTTTCATGAACCAAGGATTCTTCAGCTGTTTAAAATAATACTTTGAAAGTCACTGGTCTGACTTCTAGAGATGACCTGAAAAGCTGGCTATGAACACCTGGGAAATTTAGATGAAACGTAAAAAAAAAAAAAAAGCGTCCTTTTAAACACAGAGCTGAGTGTGTAAGAAAGTAAGGGAAATAATACCAGAGAGAGAAACGGGAAAGGCAGAAAGAAGGGCGAGCGTGTGAACGGGTGCGGGCGGGGCGGGGCGTGTGACGTGACGGGCGGGGCGGGCGGTGGCAGCAGTAGGTAGGACACGTCCCGACAGCCCAGGAGCCCGGGTTTTACCGCCGCGTGGGAACGAGAGACGATCGGGTCCCTTGCATCATTCCCAAGCGCCCTCGAAATCGCTACCATAAGTGATCACCCACTAAGCCACAAAGGTACTCTCGGCAAACCCCGAGGGGCTGGCATCAGAGCGACCGTGTCTCTCGCCCCGATGCATTTTAATCAGTAATGATAAGAACAGAGCGAAAAGTGACTGGCACCGTGCGCGTTTGAAAACACACCTGCAAATAACGTGCGTGTCGAAGGAGAAATCACACCGGAAATTCGAAAATATTTCGAATGCAATGACAGGTAAATAATAACTACACTCACCGGAAACAGCTACAACAGTATTTTGAGAGAAACGTTATAGCTTTAAATGCTTATATTAAAGGGGGAGGAGGAAGATCGAAGAGATGAGCTTACGATTCAATCAGGAAATTAGAAAAATTAAATGGAGCAATATAGAAAACCCGCAAAAAGTAGAAGTGTATAAATGACAATAATAAGAGCGGAAGTTGATACAATTAAAAAGAAATAATAGAATAAGTAGAATAGTCTTTGAAAAGACTAACAAAAGGGGCCAATCTTCAGGCAGGGTTGATCCAGAAAAAAAAAAGAGAGAGCGAGAAGGTATTAATAACATAAAGAATGAAGACAAGAACATAAATACAAGGAAAAGATTTTTTCGACATTACATGAAAAAAAAATTTATAATAATACATTTGAAAATTTTACGTAAAATAAACGATTTTCTAGAAACATATAATTCACTCACGCAGACTCAAGAAGAAATAAAAACCCCAAACATACCAACATTATGAGTTGAATTCTTTCCCCTCGAAAAGATATGTTTAAGCCCTAAGCCCCAGTGCCTCAGGATGTGACCTGATTTGGAAAACCGGCCGTAGTTCATGAAGACGAGGTCACACAGGAGTGGGGTGGGCCACTGTGCGCTGTGACAAGCGGACGGCCACGTGAAGTCACAGACACGGGGAGAAGGCCCGTGAAGACGGAGGCAGAGACCGGAGCGACATGACGCACGTGACAAGATGAAGCTGGGAGAGGCGTGAGAGAGATTCGGCCTCGGAGCCTCCGGGACGGACCGTCTCTGCCGACGGCTTGACCTCAGACTGCTGGCGTCCGCGGCGGACGGAGAACACATTTCTGCATTTTCAAATGGGCCCCGTCTGTGGCACGTTGTCATGGGAAATGAATATAAACGACGAGCACCAGAGTGAAGTGGCAGTTTAAAATCTGCACACTCACACGCAGACTGACCCATTTCAGCCTCCTCGCCACATGGACACGTGAACCGAGGCCCTGAGGGGTCTCCTGCGCAGACTCCCCGGCCAGCTGGTGGGCGGGGTGGCACAGGGCACTCAGGGTAGGCAGACAGGTCCCGAGCACCGGGATCTGAATTGGGACAATCAGCCCTGCGAGCTTCTCATAGGCTCGTCTTCTCTCCCCAGGTGCATCAAGGCGACGCAAAACTAGATCTCTACCCCAACAAGAACATCTTCCAAATTCTCTTTCCTGACGGATCGGGCCAGATATAGTATCCGCTAGAGCACGAAGACACATAAGGACACATATGGCGCCTAAAATGTGTGTGATTCGGGGCCGGGGCCTGGGTTTTACTGAACCCGCAAACTCTGCGGGCTCTGCCTTTTCAAGGGGACCCCAAGAGGCTGCTTGTGCCTTAACCACCTTCTAGCTACCCATCCAGGAACCTGGCTCTGCTCATCCTCAGCTCGGCAGAGAGCAAGTTCACGTACATCATTCTGGAAGACAGCAAAGAAATGCAAATACAGGCCCTCGTCAACAACAGCGGCCACGCCACCTTCCATGACGAAAACAGAGAAATCTGGTGAGTGTGGGCCATGTGTCCCGAGCACTCTTTTCCGTGGAAAGCAGTGTGCTTGAAGGCTCCATCCGCCCTCCAGATTCTGACCGTCAGGCTGGGGTGGGGCCTGGAGCTCTGCATTCTTCAAAGCTCCCACGCGGTTGGGCAGGTCAGCCGGGTGTGGGACCCCAGGCGGCGCACCCTCCACCAGCCTCCGAGGCTTCAGAAAGTGGCCAGTGCCCACGAGCCGGCAGCAGCTGCCCAGCACGGCCCGTCTGCCAGGGCCACGGCCCCCAAGGGCCATGAGATAATGGCGGGACACTTCGCTCCTCATCACCACCGGCGGGGAGCTGCCTCCCTGGCCCCCCACGGCCCGGGTGAGGGTGGCTGCTGCGCTGACACCCCAGACTCCAGGGAAGCCTCGCCTTTATGAGGAAATGGGCCCGGATGTCCCGTCCTGGAGGGCGGGTTCCCCCGCCTCAGCCTTGCTTCCAGGCCTCGGGCAGCAGCCTCGCAGGCAGCCCAGGGACCGTCTCCCTCTTGCCTTGGGACCTGCCATCCTCTTGCCCTGAAAGTTTTCCGAAGCTGCTAACCTTGTCACAGCTCGAGGGCGGGAGACACACAGGTGGCTTTTCCCTCTAACGCTGAGCGCCCCCTCCTCTGGCGAGGACAGGAGGGAGGCTGCCCGGTGCTGATAGCCAGTGGGTGAGGCTCGGCGTAGCCTCGTAAATCTCCGCAAACGGCCCATGAAGGGTCCTGCCCACCGGGCCACAGACCAAAGCCCCGGACACGCCGAGGGACCTCCACCCTTACCCCAGCTGGCCTGGCCCCTCTGCCCACGGCAAGCGGCCCCTCCACACTCAGCTGGACACTGCTGCCTGACCGCCCTGTCCTGCCTCCCCAGGGCAGCTGCATGCTCTGGCTTGACTTAACCACAGCAAAGCAGTGCTGAAGGCATTTGGGCATCAGAGACCTGGATGGGGGAGAAACTGTCCCTGCGTACCCCCCCACTCCCGTCACCCCCAAAAGGCCACACACAGGGCAGAAGGGGCTCCCCATTCCCGAGGATGGCAGCACCCAAGAAAAATGTGACCCCAAGAAAAATCCCCCTAAGGGGATTCATCAGAACACAGTTCTGTTGTCACGGGACATTTTTGGAAAAGATCTTCCAAGTTTTTCGGGAAGCACAGAGCTGTCAGGCAGGGCCCACCCCCCGAATCAGTGCCAGGGATCCCCGCAGCTGCTGCCCAGGCTGGGCTGGGGGGAGCCCCACACTGCGTGGGCACGGGACGGCTTTGCGGCCACGCCGTCCCAGCATTCCCGGTCATGTTTTGATGTCCACCTCATCAGAGAAGGCAGAGGGCGTGGTTGTAGTTTGCTGGGTGTGTGGACGCTAAACCCCAGCTTCTCCCCCAAACTCCAGGCCCTGGGCTTGAGGAAACCCAGACCGGACCTCCCACCAAGTTTCAGGGTCCCTCCCACCCAGCGAGGGGCCCCAGACTTGCCTAAAATCAGGGACCCTGGTGGGTGGGTCTACCCACACCATAGCTTGGGGTCCTTGCACCCCTTGAGGAGGGACCTCCAGATTCAGACATTTCAGGGTGTTCTAGACCCTGCTTTCCCAAGGAAGCCTTAGCCCAGAGCCAGGTCCCCCGAGGCAGGCGCTGACCTCTAACCCCGGGGAGCGGGGAGGGCCTGACGTGAGGTGGGGGCGATGTAAAGGGTTGGAGCCTGCAGGTCTGCCCTGCGGGGTGAGAGAAGGGTCCCCTCTCTGTCCCCTCTCCGTGGACGACTGTAACCCTAATGTTCGCCGACGTCCTGCAGTGTGCAGGCAGCAAACCCTCACGACGACCCCACGAGGAAACCACCGGTATTATCTGCATTTTTTAGTTGAAATTGAGGCATAGAGAGGTTAATGACTACTGGACTCACTGCTCCCAAGTGTGCGCACACGCGCGTGTGTGTGTGCACGTGTGCGTTTCACGTAGCGTCACAAACACGAGCAAGTAGTGAAAATTAAGTCGTCTGATGCACACACTCCCAGCTGAGGCTGAACGAGGTGGGTGTCCCCTGGCTTGGGGCGGAGGAGGGAGGCAGGAGCACAGGGCCGTGTCATGCAGGGAGCCCCAGCTCTGGGGCCAGGTGGCATCTGCCGGGACGGGCTGTTTGTCGGCTCTAAGGTGACCTAGGTGAGCTAGGTGCACGTATATTTCTCCTAGGACGACGGGTTCAGTATTTACTAACATTCGAAGCGACTTAATAGACCCGAACTGCACATTGCAAATAGCAAGGTCAACTGGACGGATTAGTAAATTATAGGAGGACAGCAACGGGGTGGAGGACAGCAGAGGGGCAGGTCAGGACAGGGCTGCCCCCAGGGGGTGACGCTTAAGCTGAAACCTGAAGGCGAAGCAGGAGCCAGCTGGCTGTGCTGGCTCCATCCCGGGAACAGGAAGCAGCATGGGAGCCGGTGGCCAGGGACAGAAGACAAGAGGGAACTCGGACACGGGTGGGGGGACAGGCAGCACCTAGTCTTGGGTCTGCCTTCCCGGTGGAGACTTCTCCCACGAGCCAAGACCTCTGGTCCCCTGTGGCCTGTGTGTGGGCAAAGAAAGACCAAGAAGGAGGGGCGGTTCAGGGGGAAGGGGCAGGCCCGTGTCACCACAGGAGAGGCCGCGCCCTTCGCCCCAGGGCCAAGCACAGTGGCTGCCAATGCAACGTCTTGGTCTAGGTTGAGCCTGAGCCCAAACCTGGGCTACTACTTTGCCAAAGACCAAGCCCAGAAGGCCTGGAACTGGTGGAATCTGAGCGACCACGTCCACGCGCCCCCCATCCGGCCCATCTCCCTCAGGATCAACCAGTACATCGAGGTGCAAATCAGGACCCAGGACAAGATCACCTTCTGCTTCACCCACCAAAAGCAGCACATCTGCTTAAACCTGGGCACCAAGTATAAGGTACGGTCAGCTCCCACGCCTCTGCCGGGCGGGGGGCCCCTGCACGCGGCCCACGGCTGGATTGCACCGGTTCGTGCCATGGGCCCCAGCCAGGTTCTGCATGACTCCCACCCACAGAAAACAAGGGGCCCCCCACCCCGCCCAGATGCTTGACCATACACAAAGGCATTCATTTCACATCTGCGAGCCGTGAGATTTGGCTCTGAGGAAACTGACATCCCCCCATCGCTCAGCCATGAGCCAGACAAAAAAAAAAAAAAATGTCAACACGCGTTGTCTCACCTGACACTCACGACGGCCCTGTCAGATGGCAGGGCCAGAAACAAAGGAGAAGTCCGTGTCCCCAGCCCTGCCATCCGTGTCCTCATCTCAAAACAGATGGCCACCTGGAAGGCCGTGGCCCCCTGCCTAGGCCGGGCAAGAAAGTCTGGGGAAGGAATAGCCTCCTGGGGCCACCGTGACACATGACCACACACCGGGGGGACTTAAGGCCACAGAAACGTATTCTCTCGCAGTTCTGGAGATGAGAAGTCTAAAACCAAGGTGTTGGCGGGGCCGTGCCAACCTCCGGAGGCTCTGAGGCCGGGTCCTTCCTGCCTCTCCCAGCTCTCAGGGCTCCCAGGCCTCCCTTGGCTGGTGGCACCATCGCTCCCGTCTCTGCCTCTGTCTTCAGGAGCCTTCCCCTCTGTGTCCCTCCGTGTCCCCTCCGTGTCCCTCCGTGTCCCTCCGTGTCCCTCCGTGTCCCTCCGTGTCCCCTCCGTGTTCCTCCGTTCCCCCCCTGCCGTGTCCCCTCCGTGTTCCTCCGTGTCCCTCCGTGTCCCCTCCGTGTCCCTCCGTGTCCCTCCGTGTCCCCTCCGTGTCCCTCCGTGTCCCCTCCGTTTCCCTCCGTGTCCCTCCGTGTCCCTCCGTGCACTCCATCTCCCTCTCCCGCCCCCTATAAGAACACCGGCCATCAGATTTAGGGCGCGCCCTGAATCCTCACCCTGCGGTTCTCCATTTAATTACACCTGCGAAGATCGTATTTCTAAATACAGTGATATTCATGAGTGACTGCGGGTTAGGACTTCGACATGTATTTTGGGGGCCACGAGTCAAGCCCCTACAAATGATGAGTCTGGACCCTAGAGTTTGCACCATAAGAGGACAAGAGGGTGGGCTGAGCCCCCCTCCCGAGGACCAGAGTCAAGGAGAGGAGTGGGGGTGTCCTCGGACCCACCGTTCCTGCTCCAGCTCCCCTGCCCCATCCTGCAGAAGGCGCTTCGTACAGACCCGCCAGAGAGGCGTTCAGGACTGCATGAGCGGGCGGACGGACGGACGGACAGACGGACATGTCTCCTGGGAAGTGAGGCAGACGGAGAAGTAGGCTGAGGGAGGAAGCAGCCACACAGCAGAAGCCAGCGAAAATATTATCTGAAAGGCGCGGAGGGGATGTGTGGGCTTAGAGTGACCCACCACGCCAGTTTGCCCAGGACTGAGGGTTTTCCAGGACATGAGACATTTCGTACTGAGGCTGGGACGGTGCCAAGCAGAGCCAGACAGCTGGCCATCGAGATTCCCTTGCCTGCTGTTCTGCAGGCTGAATAATAAGGCCCCAGCCTCCTTACCTGCCCTGGGCTTTCCAGCGGGCAACCCAGGAAAGAGGAGGCACACACAGACCGCCCCGAGTTTTCCGTTTGCCCCTGCACAGTGGTGACAAGCCAAGAGAGAGCTTGAGGACCTGGGCCACTGGCCTTCGAATCGCGGTGGGGGTGCATTGAGGGAGGAGGGCCAGGGACATCGATGGCCCACAGGGCAGGTAAAGGGCTGACGCGGGCGGAGAGCCTGGTGCCAGCGGAGGGTGCGCCCAGAGGAGGCAGATCAGCACAGACGTGGCTGGCCGTCGGGCCGTCAGGGTGCTCGCAGGCCAGGTGGCAGCCCCGCCACTCCCTGTGTGACACCTCACAGGCCTCTTGGTCTTTCTGAGCCTGTTGTCATCTGCAAAACAGGACACAGCGTCATCGTAAGGCTTCAGCAAGACGCTCTGTGTGAAAACAGTTCAGAATCCGGATACCTCACAGGCACGGGACATGCTGGCATCAGCCTTTGCCATTCCCCCTGCCTCCAGGGGGCCCTGGGCTCAGTCTGCCGTAGGCTACAAACCAAGGCAGAGGTGGCCCAGATACGCTTCTCGGGAGCCCAGGTGGACGTGGGCTCGTGGCCAGGCATGGCAGACAGTCTCTCGGCCGTGGTTGGGCCTCAGTCTGCCCCCACAGTAGGGGATCATAGGGAGAAGCCAGATGCACCCAGGGGGGCACAGCCTTTGGAAGGCAAGCCATGCCGGGGCTCAGGCACTGGCACCTTTGGTTTGGGGTCAGGCTGGGATGTGGCTCCTGGAGCAGGTCTAGTGAGGGTGCTTGTGGGATTTGCCCTGGAGAGTGAGGGCTGGGGCCTGGGCACAGGGGCCTCATCCTGGGGCGGGGAGCGGGGGATGGGGGGCCAGGGCAGCACTTGCCCTCACCCGGCCCCCCATGAACCCCGCAGTTCGTGACCCCAGACATGCTGAGCGAGATGAAGAGCCAGGTGGCCCTGGAGGTGGACGCTGGCCCATGGGTGCGGAAGATCCGCGTCCTCCTGGGAAAGATGAGCAGAGTCGTGAACTTCCTGACCATCTCGGAGTTGGAAAACTTCCTGGAGGCCAGCGGCATCCTCCTGATAGACAACCCAAGCCTTAGCGAGAAGTTCAGGTCCCGGGTCGAGGCGGCCACCACCCTGGTCCCCGGCTCCTTCAGCTCCTACTGAAGGTCTGGGGAAGGCGGGGTCATCAGAGGCACCAAGGAAACCCCACAGCCCCGTGTAGGTCCTTCGAGAGCTGGTTTGTCATTCGGGAGCCGTCACAGCGATTTGATTCAAAAAAAAAAGTGTTGGGCAGATCTGGTGGACGCTGAGACGGGACACAGAAAGGACAATCTCGTCGGCAAGTCGATCCCGCAGACAATACACGGCCCCAGCTGTGCCGCCTGCTTCTCCTGGTGACCTGAGTGTGGCAGTTCTTCCGTGGCCTCCCTGTAGACTTAGGTTGACTCGGGACACAGACTGTCCCCAGTCTAGCTCTGCCAAGTGTTGGCTGCGTGACCTCGGACAGCTATCTCTATGCCTCAGTGTCCCCATCTGTAAAATGGGTCTAGAAAGAGCAGAGCAGGCGGCCCTCACTCTGACCCCATCGCAAACACCCGCTCTGCCACCGCTGGCATCAACCAAGCCCAGGCAGCAGACCAGCAGCAGCCTGCGGCAGGCCCCCCAAACTAGGGCCCAACCGAAGCCCAACCAAAAGGACCCACACTTAACCACCCCCCTCCGGCAGCTGGGACCCTTTTGGTCACTGGTAGCAGCCACCAACTCGAGTAGGTAAAGCAAAATGGCATCCGTAACCTGGGCGGAAGACGCAGTGGGTCCTCCGGGGTGGCGCGTGGAAGGCCTCGCACGCGCACCTCTGGCCCGGGCCTTGTTCACAAGCACGAGTTCCATGTGCCTGTTCACGTGACCTTGTCTCCTGCTCTCCCTCACCCGTGGCCTCTGAGGCCTGGGTCAGGAGGCCACTCCCGGTGCAGCCCGGGGTGGGGAGGGAGGGTGGAGTCATGTCTTGGAAACACAGCTCCTCGTAGATGCCTCAGCATGGGGAGGGGTGGTAGTTTCTAGAAGATGAGCCGGGCAGTGCGCCTTCTACACAGTCACAGCACACTTCCGAGGATGATCTCGGCTGCAGCTAAACCCCGACCGTACAGGAAACCCCTTATTCCGGCTCAGCCCAGCAGTGAGCCATTCCCTGCCAGGGACGGCCACACCCAAGCCCCACCTTTCGGGACCCTGCTCCCCTGGCCCTAACCTGGCCAAATGTCCCGTCGTCACCCCAAACCGCAAGGCTGGGCAGCCGGGGTAGGACTGGAGTGGTAAGGCTGGCAGAGGAGAGCGTTACACGCTCGCTTCCACCACGTGACTGTCACGCCGTGGCGGTGAACAGTGCCATCGGCCAAGACGTGCCGCAGCTGCAGCCGTAAGTGACCGTGGCCCCCGCAGCCGAGTGCCTCACGGGCCAGCCTCGCCTTTCAGGGGGCCTGGTTAGTTCTGCACCTTTGCTCAGTGCGTGGAGAAGACCCTTTCCTTACCAGGCACTAGCGACAAGCTCCTGGGTCACACTGGGCAACAAACGCGTCCTCCCAAGCTCGCAGCCCCGTCTCAGAGCCAAGCCAGACGTTTCCCCCGGGACCGAAGGCCGTGGGGTCGGAGGCACATGTCCTGGCCCCACCGCCTGCTCGCTGGGGGGCGCGTGACTCTGTGACTGCTTCCTTGTCTGTAAATGCGGGGGGTGGAGGCGGGTTCTAGCAAAGACCATAGGACCTGGCATCAGCCAAGCAGTCAGCGGGGCGCTGAACAGATGTGGGCTTCTGCTGTGACCAGCCATTCCCTCCCCCTGGTCTTTCTCCCGTCAGAAGATGGTTCCATTAACGCAGCGGCTGTTAACAGGTGTCCCCGCAGAGGCGTTTTGTTTGGTCAACCCCGATTTAAAGTATTTTGCTGCCAACACTGGCTAGACGGGAGATCTCACAGAAATATGGTTTACCAGCTTCTCCTGTGACCGCTGCTCTGCATCTGTGATGTCAGAGGCCGGACAGAATCCCGAGGCACCCAGGGACGATTTTCAGTAGGAAAAGCCAATCAGCTCACAGATGCCGGAGGAAATGAAGTAGCCACCCGGAGGGCCGGGCGTCACACTCCAGACCCCTCCCTCTGCATCAGCTTGCTGGGGCTGCCGTGACGAAGGGGACACACAGGGGGGCGGCTTCCGCGACAGAAACGTACTGTCCGGCGGTGGTGGAGCAGGGAGTCCGAAGTCAAGGGCCTCCCCGGAAGGCGCTGGGTTTCCAGGCGTCTCTCCGGGCTGCCGGTTGCCACGCGCCGTTCTCCCCGAGTGCGCGTGTCAGATTCCGCCTTCTCATCCAGGCCCCGGCGGTGCCGGACGGGGGCCCCCCCCGCTCCAGGACGGCCTCCTCTAACTAGTGGCCGCATCTGCAACAGCCCCGTGTGCCAGGAAGACCACAGCCTGCGGCACTGCGGGGGACACAATACAGCCCTAAACGCCCTGTCTGCCTCACACCCCGGCCTCTCCCAGCCCCTCAGCTTCCCCAGGGGGCAATTTCTCTGACTCATTTTATCCTCGATGAGTTGGCAGGAAAAGGTGTTTCTCCTAGAAACGGAAGGGAGGGAAGCTGGGCAGCTGCTCGACCCTGCCCTGTCCTGTTACACACGGGGTCCCCGACGGGTAAGTCCAGCAGTGAATACCCGGAGGAGGCCAGTCTGGTCCCCGGCCCCGAGAAGTGAATGCCTAGTTAATTCAGTACTTAATTACGCCACGCCACAAACAGACAGTGTACGCCTAGCATGTGCTTGGGGACCGAAGAGAGAACGGGCTGTCTGCCCTCGGGGATTACAGAGCGGGGGTCAGAGACACGAGCAACAGCGAAACGGTGACGTGGTGGCTTTGTGGAGAAGCGCACGCGGGAGCAAAGCAGCAGAGTCACCTGGGGGAGGGGGAGGGGTCACAGGAAGCCTCTCTGAGGAGGTGGCCTTTGAGCCAGAGCTGATGAATGAAAAGGAGAGGGAGTGGGCGTGGGGGTGCGTCATGGGGGTCCCCAGGAGAGGCAGGGACAGAGAGAGAGGGCACTGAGGGCGACATACAGGTTACGGCACTGGGGGACCAGCTGGAGAGTGTCTTTTTCTGACTGCCTAGTCCTCCTCGTGAGTGTGTTACAGGACAGCAGTGCCCCATTCATCACCAAACCAGCAAAGGCTGTGTCAGTCACAGGCCAGTCAAGGCCACTTAACAAGTTAATACTAAAAGGGAACTAAAGGACAATTCCATGGGAAACAAGAACAGCAAATGCAAAGCAGAGCTCGCCTGACTCACACCTTGCTGAGCAGACGAGACGGCAGCCCGTGGCTGCCGGGAGGGGGGCGGGTGCACAGGACGGGGTCGCGAGGGTGCAGAGGCTGGACCACCACTGGGTACCAGGAAAACTCGCTGGAGAACGACCACTACCAGCCCTCCGTGCTCTGCGGACAGCTGCGGTGTGGAAAGAAAACAGCCCCACCGGACAGAGCCCCGCTTCCCTATGCCTTGCGGGGCACCTCCAGCACCCTACAGAGCCTAACGTCGCACCAGCTGGCAGAGGAGACATGTCTCCAGGGCCCAGCTTCGGCATCTCGAAGCAGGGCAACACAGAGTGGATTTGGAGCTGAGGCAATGAGCCAGTGACTAGCACAGAGACCATCCTCCTCCTTGCTCTAGAACTCTCCCGAGCGTGGAAAACAACGCACGCACACACGCACGCACGCACACTCGCACGCCTCGTGAGCTTGGCTGAGAGAAAAGCAGTTTACAATCCGGGCTGGCAGCAGACAGACAAAAAACAAACACGCAAACCATCTCGTGTGCCACGTGAAGACAGGTGAGCCAGGTGAGGGGGACAGCAAGTGCTAGAGACTGGGGTCCCTAAGCACAGCAGGGTAATTACTCATTGTGGGAGGCTGTCGCATGCACTGTAAGGTATTTAGCAGCCCTAGTTGACTTCCAACAACTAGAAGCCAGTAATACCCCTACACATACATATGCCAGTCAGGACAACCAAAATGTCTTCAGACATTGCCGAATGTCCCTTTGGCGGGGGGCGCCATCCCTTGTCGAGAACCACGGCTGAAGATCACGTTTGGGTTTCTGGTTTTAGGGCCCAGCGTAAGTCAATCTTGGCAAATGTCTCGTGTCCTTGAAAGGAATGTGTTCTGCAGCAGCTGGGGATTCCGATTAAATGAGGCAACTCATGCACATCCAGACTGTAGTTCATTCTGTAATCACCCTCCACTTAAAAAACGAAATCAGTGCTGTGAAAACAAGCCGACGAAGACCTTAAGGGAGGTTGTCTTAAAAGGGACTAAAAACACTCAAATACCAAGTAAAATGTATGAACCTGGGTGAAAAAAAAAAAAAAAGCTGAGACATTTGGGGGACAATTGAGGAAACTGAAATATGGACTACGCGTTAGAAGTTACTGAATTTGGGGGGATGATAAAGGTACTTAGGTTCTGTAGAACGCCCTTGGTGACTGGGGATGGGTGTGGAAGTATTTAAGGGTACCATGTCATGAAGCGTGCAGTTCACTTTCAAATCGTTCACGTGTGTATGCGCATATGCTGATAATTAAAACCCACTTGGTTAAAAATGTGTAAAAGAGCGCGATCTTATAAGAAAAATTGTTTTAGAATATACACAGAAAAACCCAAAAGCTATATGCCAAACATTTAACAGCAGTTACCTTTCGGAGTTCATTTATGAAAGACTCTCATATTTTATATTAAAATTCAAACCCTACAGAAATGTCTTATAGTGGACATATTTTTATAATCAGAAAAGGTTTGAAAAACCCCTTATTTCCAAAAAGAAAGAATATATTCACCAGATGACTATTTATTGGATTCCACTATTTCAAGTTTCCAGCGGCTGCTTCCTATTTGTGGGGGACGGGAACGAGATGGACAAGCTAGCGGAAGACCCGCCAGGAGGGGAATGTTCCAGAAAGGACGCGATGCCTTTGAATGCATTGAAAAGAATGTGTTCTGCAGTTGTTAGGTATTCGGAATTGTAATGAGGAACCCCGGGCGCATCCGGACTGCAGTTCATTCTATAACTAGTCTACACTTAAAAAGAAAAAAAGCCAGTGCCATGAAAACAAGCCAACAAAGCTTAAGAGGAGTCGTCTAAGTTCAAAGGGGCTAAAGAAATGCAAAGACCAAGTGAAGATATTTCTTGGGTAAAAAAGCCCCTCTTTTCTGAGAAATAACGTTCTCATCCTCGTCCCCAGGATCCGGTACAAATGGCTGCTGGTCAAAAACTAAAGTTGACTGTTCTTTCTTACTTGTAAGGAAATAGCAGAAGACAATCGAACACATGGAGTTGTTAAACCAAAAGAAAACTTCAAAAGTGTTTTCACGGCTACTTCAGTAACGCTAAATTTCATCACAAACAACCACAGTCGACACCACTCAGAAGACTGGCACTTTTGTAAATCAAAAAAAAATTAAATTTTTTCAACAAATTAAGCATTAAGATGCATCAGAAATGTCTTTCCACAACAATTATCTTGCCAGAAGAATCCACGCGGCAGCAGTGGAGCTGGGGAGATGGCGTGGCCGTCAGCGTCCCGCTGGTGGACGGTGCGCCAGGCCTGCACGACGTCGCCCCTGGGGGCTGGGGAGAGGTGCACGAGATACTTCTTACAGCCACATGGGGATCTACGGGGTAGCTCAATAAATGTTTCAAGTAAAAAAAAAAAAATTTAAGCATTCACACACATGACAGACCCATGAGGACAAAGTAGGAAGCAAAAATCTTTATTTTTAAAAAATTCACATTTATTAAAAACAGCAATTTCTAGCCAAATAATATAAAGCATTTTAAATTAATTATTTGAAAGTATGTACACTCTCTGTATAAGTGAACACTCGAAACTGTACAGATTTAAACAAATATTCATTTAGCAAACAAGCTGGATCACTATCACCTACTCAGCACTTTGTAAGGGTGTTTGCGTGTTTCAAAAAATAAAAGATTCAACACAAGAACAAGTGTTGTCGAATATTTTTATCCTTAAGAACACACTCTGCTCTGTACATCAAATTAAATCGTTCGCGTATGTACAATAATCATGCCCTCATTTCTTTGGAAAGGCTTTACAAAAATCAAATGTACATATCATACACAAAACTGGGTATTTTACAGTTTATTTCATTAAACACATACTTAAAATAGTTAAGTGGAAGTAAATACAGTCTCCTAGTTCGTTCATTCCATGTAGAGGAATGACCGTGGACCCTCATCACCTTCTACCTCCGAAGCACAGAGTGCTGAGCTCTATCGAGCGACATCCTTCGCCGACTTGCACTGGGCTGGAAAACGAGTGACCCGCTTAGCATGACAGACGTCAGGGTGTGCAACCTACCTACGCACTGTGGGATCTGCTTGAAGGGGATGCGAGTGCCGCTCGTCGCGTGGCGTGAGGTCTGCGGGCTACGGTTCCAGAAGCCTCCGCAGTGTTCAATCTCTAGACTAGTGTTTGAACAGCTCAAAATTCCTTTTGAACCAAAAAGCAGGCTACTTCCACTATGGCGGCAGAGGCAAAACCAGTCCAATCAGGAAACGGGTATTTATAGGACAACGCACAGATGTGCGTAACTTACTGTATCTGATGATCCCTGATACAGTGCGGTACAGGTTTGGGGGGACCTCTTCATCCTCCTTGCCTCTGTTAGTTAAAGGGTCTCGGCTGGAGCAGGTGCGCAGCACGGCCACAGAGTTCACAGGACGTGAAAGCTTCTCCAAGGACGACTGGAGCCAAAGGCAGCGACAGAGGCCGGTGGCAGCACGAGACGCGCTCTTCCTCAGGCGCCAGGTCCGACGCCTTACGCAGCTCGCCCCACTCGCACACTCCCTGCTGCTCCCCGAGGCCCACGGAAGACATGGCGCGTGTCTGCCGCACAAGGCTGCAGCTCCCTGCCCTTGCCCTTGACCCTTCCGAACCTGACCTCACATCGAATACACAGGAAGGTAACTTCCGGAATTCTGGGGAAAGCAGAACATGTCCTCAGAAGGATCCGACCTCCTCCAAACTAAACTTCGACGTGACAGGAGAAACATTCACAAAATCGAGTGTAGGAATAACACGTGTGGAGCACAAACCAGCCGCGTGGAGCGTGCGGTGGTGGAGCGCGCGGTGGGGGAACGCGCGGTGGGGGAGCGCCGTGGGGTTCCACGCTTCCACGAGCCTCACCCCCGCAGCTGCTCGTCAGCGCCATTTCCATCAGGTTCGCCCTTGCCCGAGCTGCTGACGGCGATCTCCACCGCACATCGAGTGCTAAGGGCCGCCTCGCCGCGGGCCCGCCACGCTGCCTCGTAAAGACTTACGTTTCTCGTGGCCACTTAAATGAGGCGGTTACCACCACTCAAAGAGGAATCTTTGGCATGTGGATGTTTTTAAAAGGGAAACACCAATCCTGTCACACTCCGCTTACACTTGGTTCCGCAGCCAGCACTGAGCAGCACGCCGGTGTGGTTCTTGGGGACACTCCTCAATGCCCTGCAGGTCACGTGCGTCCTCAGCCACTCCTACCGGACGGGCCATCCACGCGCGCAGCCCACGGGCCTGGTTATTTAGAAACAGACAGGAGGAGGCTCAGCTGAAAAGCAAAGGGAAAGGCTGCGTTAGCTGTGCCGTGGGGAAGGCGGCCAGGGCCTCAGACACAGAACGAGGGCGAGAGACTCAGAGTTTTGAGAGACCAGTAAACATGGCTGCCAGGTAAAGACCAGACCCGCAATGCTGGTCTCATTCCTGAAGCCGTCACTGGGCGCTAAGTTTGGGGAGAGACCCTCCGTCATCACCCAGCCAGGCCCTCAACACATTTAGAATCCAAGGAAGATGACAGAAAAAACTACGTACCAACGCTGTCCAAGGGCTGAAATACAGCTAAATAATCAATTTCACCTTTTTCTATGCAGAGTGTGTTTTGGGAAGAGTTGTGTAAGTCAAATTCTTCCACTGACTTTTAAATGCATGAGAACAGGCATGACACACGAATTTCAGAGCACATGCCAACTCTGACTGGACCCAGGAGCGCCCTGTCCAGAGCCGGGCAGAAAACCAGAGAACCCATCACGGTGCCAAGGGAAAAAGCGGCCAGCACACCGCACTCTGCCACCGAGCCCCAGCGAGACCTGCAGTTAAGTGAACATGGCGGTGAACCCCCTGTAGAGCACAAACTATTTTGGTAATCGAAATAATCACACCGTAACCTTGTATAAATGTGTACTTCAAAAGCAAGGGACACCAAATCACCTCTGCGTTTTTCCTAGCCAAAATACAAAACCTGGATCTAGTCATGAGAAAAAAGGAAGTCCAAATCAAGGGACACTCTACAAAACCGCTGGCTTGCGGAGGCCAAGAGAGGGGACAAGGCCGCAGAAGTGCCCCAGGTTGAGAGAAGCTGAAGAGACATGACACTTGACAGCACTACTGGGACTGGCCCCTGGACCGGGGAAAAACACACATAAAGGACGTTATTGGGACAACTGAGGAAGCTGAGCACAGACGGTGACTTAGGTGACAGTATCGATGTCACAGTTCCTGTTCTGGTAACCGCGGGGCGGGGGTGGGAGGACCCCGTGCTGTCAGGAAGTCCAACGAGGAGCAGTGTCGCCCAGCGCCCTCTGAAATGACTCGAAGGGGGCGGGAGGGCGGGGGAGGAGGGACCACAACGCTGCGAAGCCCGCGGCACATGCCCACCACCGGGAAGGCGCCTGACTGCCATGCCCGCACTCTCTGTACGTTTGAAATGAACAAAGTTTAAAAACGTTTGTACAGACGCTCAACTTACGACGGGCTCACGTCCTGATAAACCCACCGGAAGCTGGAAATACCGCACGCTGAAAATGCATTCGATACGCCTAACCTACCGAACGGCACCGCTTAGCCTAGCCGGCCTCGAACGTGCTCAGACACTCACACCAGCCTGGCTGACAAAACCGTCCAACACCACGAACGCACTGCAGAGTGTCGGCTGTTACCCTCGGGATCGCGTGGCTGGCCGGGAGCCGTGGCTCGCTGCCCCGCCACCGACGTCATGAAAGTATAGAAATTCAAAATTCCAAGAAGGGTTCACATTGTCAATAATTTGAAGAATCATACATTGAACCATCGTAAGTCAGGGGCCGTCTGTAGTGCCATATACTGGATTTTAAGAAAATGGGTTACAAACTTCAATTTCCAGGAGAATCTGAAATGGGAGGGAATGTGACAGAAAACCAGTGGTCCCCTCCGACAAACCTGCAGTCAGAATAGCAGGTTCGAGTTCCTGCCCTGCAGCACGTGGCCAGGGCCTTAACCAACGGTCGGGGCCACAGCTTCTTCTCCAGCAGAAGCGGGCAAACAGGGAGGTCGTGCGAAGATTAAATAAGATGACACGTGTCAAACGCTTAGGACGGTACTTGGCAGCAGTCAGCGGTCGGTAGTATCACCGATTACTATTATCTGGGGAATATTAACAGCTCTGAAACAGGACCGAGGCGCAGAGGGATGATGGTCTCTGTTAGTGTCTTTCGAACCGCTGCAACCACTGTGCATCATGGAAATAATTCAGTTGTTCATCAGCAGAACAGGCAAGAGAAGCAAGTGAGTTGCACCTAACGTGGGTGCTCACTTGCTGTAAATCTTTAAGTTACACATGCACACTCGTATCTTGCTGGCGGAAGTCGAACGTGGGCGCGGGAGCCCTGCGGGTTCTTGGGGGGCCCACCCAGCATTCCACATCCACATGCGACTGACCACGGCTGGGAGGACAGTCAGACGGCGACGCTGAATGGCCTCTCCTGGATCCTCCTCATACCGAGCACCTCCTCTCAGCGACGGCCCTGCTTCCGGGAGCCCCATCACACCCGCTGCCTCCCCACGGGGCCCACCCGCCTCCTCGCCTCTCCCACAACTGACCCCACGCACACCACAAAGGCTCCGCCCTCCACCTGCCCTGAGACTCTGTGCCCCTTCGCTGCTCAAGGACATTTTTCCAGCATCGATTTGCCCTCTTCGGATCTTCCCCATGAATATACACACACGCATTTCCAAGGTTAATTTCCAAGGAAGGTTAATAAAAGGCTGGACGGACTGGAACGGGAAGCGAGGCGTCTCCACATTTACCTTGTTCTATAATTCTGACTTGGGAACCATATAAATATTTTACATAATTTAAAAATAAAATTAAATCAAGATGGGGGGATCCCCAAATACTGAAAACGACCCTAACTACATATCAAGTTAGTAGCATAATCATAGACTATAATTACTTCAAATGACCTATAAAAAGTATTCCGACCGCACAGCCTAGAACTAGAGGTCTGTCTGTCGCGTGACCCCGCACACCCACACGAAAGGACACACACGGCCGTGAGAGAGCAGAGTCCTGACGGACTGCAGCGCGGATGAGCCTCGGAGACATGATGCTCAGGGGAAGAAGCCAGTCATCAAAGGCCACGTGTTCCAGGGCTCTCGTCAACGAAATGTCCAGAAGAGACAGACCCAGCGAGCCCAGAAGAGGGTTAGTGGAAGGGGGAGGGGAGTCGGCCCTTGGGGATGGGGTTCCTCTGGGGGGATGAAATATTCTGGAATTAGGTGCTGGCGATGGCGCACCACTTAGTGGACACACGAGAAACCACTGCACTGTCACTTTAGGCTGAATTTTATGGTACGTGAATTATACGTCGACAAAAACGTGACCTGTTGCTGCTCCAGCTCCATCTCTCTCCCCACGCAGAAACGCTCGCCGCCTCCACTCTCCCCACAGTCTCCGCCCCCTCCCACGCGCTCTCCCCAAATTCTCTGGTGCTTACCGCATGCTAAACTCCTAAACGATTCTAAACTTGAGCCGCCCCCAGCACCGGCCTAATGCTCGCCAGGTGCTGGACACAAAGCTGCCGCCTGGTCTGAGTCAGTCAGTGACAGTCTACACAGACTCAGCTCTATGCTTAGTTTTCTAAATTTAGGAGAGAGAGAGAAAACAGAAACACGGTCTAACATCTAGTCTAATCCCTAAAATAAGTTTCCTTTTTTTTTTTCATTTGAAACGTGGGCCGCTTATCAAGCATATTGCAAAGAAAATTATTCAGCGACAGTTCATTCATCCTAAACACAGCGACTTTCAGTATCAGAAAAATTAAAAAGCAATTGAAAATTCTAAAACCATCACCAAAAATTGGAGAGAGCAATTCAAAGTTTAAACTCCTGCTCACCGGAATTAAATAACGTCCAATTTTTAATACTAAAACTAAAAACACGGAAACTCAAAGACATCACCCACGAAAACCACCGAGAGCCATGACGGCAGCAGGGCCTTCGGACGACACTTACCTGCTCCATGGAAGGACAGGCGATGATCTGGACGTCCTCGGGGCTGAACTCCTCCTTCAGCAAGACATGGAACTTCTGGAAGACTTGCTGGATGTTATTCTTAGAAAGCGGAGAGGCAATCATATTAAATGTGTCACTAAAAACATATAGTCATCTCAGACACGAAGCGCTAAGAATGCTGGATCGTAATAAACTGGCAAAACGAGCGGAGGAAATGCATCTTTCATGAGATTGCCAAAGACACGCAATTTGTACTTAATATTCCACGTGCCAGCACACCCCGACAGAGACTCAGCAGATAAACTGCCCGGAAAAACCAAACCCTAGCAAGCCCCGTCCCCCGAGAGAATGATAAAGAGTCTTCAGCAGAAATTCCTTACACAAGAGAGAATGAAGTTCCCAGACACATAAAATGTACTGTAAAAATCAACCAACGCCCTGGGTGAAGATGTGAGCCCAACACAGAGCTGGGAGTCATGACGACTAAATTTGCTCTGACATCTAATAGCTCGGTGGCTGCCACAGGCCATTTATTGCTAGAACTCACCAGTAACACGGAGCGTGATCCCTGAAATGCCACTCGCTCAAGTGCTGGGCCACCTCCAGCGCGAGGGTCTAATTTTTCATTTATTAATTTACTACCTTCTGCTTTTAGGTAGAAATTACCTTAGTGCCAAAGGTAGCATAACTTAAGACAAAGTGAAGGTGGGAAATAACAGATATAATCAGACAGATGCAGGCGCTTCTAGAATCACAGTGATTATGAGCCGACTTCACTATAGAACAGTACACCAGCATTTTTAAATGCCTACAGGAAAGGAGAAATGGTGGACAAGATCGCCCTACATGCAAATAAACTGTCACGTACTCACCCTAACAGGTTTAAACAAGATGAACTCGGTATCTTTATTGGACAGGTACAATGACATACTTCTCAAAGTCAGAGGCAGCTTTGTTTTTATTGTCTTGTAGACACTTGCCACAAGGTCACCGACCTTTGCTAGAAAGAAATTAACCTCGTTAGCGTCCCAAAGAAAAAGAAATGTTTCCATTTTAATTCAGAGAGGAATAAAAGGAAAAAGTATAAAAAGACAAGACTATTACCCCAAAGAACTTCTTTCACTCGTCTTGTTTATCAAGTTTAATCACGAGCCCAATAAACATTCATTAAGTATCTACTTAATACAAAACTCTAATCTCTAGGGCTAAAGTGGCAAAAAGACACACACACCCCGGCCCGGCACGCTTTGAGACAGTCACAGGGCTGTAATACGCGGCATTCGGAACTTGGAGGTAAGAGTTAAAGTAAACTAAAAAGTGAGCTTATTCCTTTGCAGACTGACCCACGGTGAGAGATGCTCCTGACTTATAAGATCATTCAGAAAATATCCACACGTTTAATAGGAACTAAAAATTCGTGTGTTAGATTCTTACACTGCATTATCAGGAAGAGAATAAAATTCCAGAAGATTATAACTGAAATAATTCTATAGCTCAGGTGAAGCGTCTGAAAAGAAGTCAAAATGGAAAAGAAGAGTGGTGACCTGGATGAGTATCTAAAAGCGGAACTCGCCCAGAAAGCTACAAAGGAAAAGACTCAAACGTACTCAAACATACTCAGCCTCACTCACGATTAAAGAAATGCATGTTGAAACAACTGAGGTATTTTCAGACTGGTAAAAATTACGAAGTTGTGAATATAGCTCGTTTGGCAGGCGTGTGGGAAAACGGGCCCCTCGCCCACTGCTGCAGGGGTGCGAGCTGGCTTGTGGAGCGGGGTTCATTAGACAACGTCAGGCAAAACCGAACACACGCTCTGCCACTTAACGTTCCTGCCGCTAGAAATGCCTGACACAGAGTCACCGTGGATATCCTCACAGCCAGGGACGCTTATTAAAGAGTGCTGGAAAAACAAAAAACCAAAAGTAACTTAAATACCACAAATAAAATGATTAAAGAAACTGTGCTACGGCGATACACTCTGTGCCTCCAGTGAACAGGATGGGGAGAGCTGGACGGGCTGGGCGGACGGGGCTGCCAGATACGGAACAGGGAAGAACAGGCAGGATCCACACAATCTCATCTGTATAATGCGTCTCAGGCCCACATGTGCGACTTTATGCACAAACGACTTGGGGAGAGACACTTTTAATAGTGGTTACCTTCAAGAGGACTAGTTTGGAGACAGAGAAGAGAATTACTTTCCATTTTATACTTTCTCCTAATTCAAGTTTTATACCATGTTAAAAAAAAAAAAACACTTTAAAACTGAGGAACATTCTGGTAGGGCAGGGTAAGAGAGCACGATGCTCTCAAGAACAATAATCCAGGAGTTGCTTATGTTTCATAGAGCAGATGAAATCTCCTTTAAGACAACTGGTGCCACAGGCTCTGGTTCTACTGTCACTGAAACCCTTCGAGGGTCTCTAAGTCACTTTCAGACCCCTGATCACCAGAAGGGGCGTGGGGAGCCCAAGTCCGGTCCCCCCTCATCTGCGGTTTGACCTTCCACAGTTTCAGCTACCTTCAGTTAACCACAGTCCAAAAATAGTAAATGGAAAATTCCAGAAATAAATAATTCATAAGGCTTAAGCAGTGCACGGTTCTGAGCAGCGTGATGAAATCTGCCACCCGCTCTGCCCTGCCAGGACATGGGTCGCCCCTTTGCCGGCGTCGCCCGGCTCTAGACACGGCCTGCCCGCTCGTCACTTAGCCACTGTCTCAGCCGTCAGACTCGCCGTCCCAGTCCCGCAGTGCCTGTGCTCCAGTCACCCCTCCTCCACCTAAGGATGGCCCCAAAGCGAAGGGCAGTGACGCCGCCATCGGGACATGCCACGGACGGGCCGTCAAGCGCACTGTGCGGAGCGGAACACAACACGCACAGGGCTCAGGCGCCCGTGGAGGCTCGGACGGCACCCGGCGGTTAAGGGCGGACCGCTGTCCCCCAATTCCAAAACGGCGTCTTTCCCAGAGTAAATTAACAGAAGGGCCCCCTAATTTATAACTCGACCCCCGTGAGTTTAGCATGAAATGACCCCCGGGGGCCTGATCAGGTCTGCGTGAGCCAGGAAACCGTGTTCCTAGGGGCCCGAGACAAGTTCCTAGGCTGTTTCTGACGCTCTCACCTCGAAGGCCCCCAAATCCCTCTCTGACATTGAAGCGTGGGCTTCCTGTACCTCAGAGTCAAAAAAGCAACGCCACAGTTCCATGCGGCTAAACAGGACAGAAGACACACTAGGTGAACAAGAGCATCACGGCTTCTTGACCGACAGCTCCTCACTTAGACACAAAAGGCTTACGTGACAAACGGGCTGCGTGACACAGCACCGAGCCCTGCTGAAGTCTGCTTTGTCAATTCTTTTCATCTTTACGAGGACGATTCCAGTAAGCTTAGGCGCACAACGCGCTTAACACTGGCGGTCCCCTCGGGCTCCGCCTGGGAACGTGGCAGCCCGTTCTGGGTAAAAGGGGGCCTCACCCAGGGCACGACGCCCCAAGCCCCCGGCCTTGGCTAAATGTGCCTCTGCCTGTTGGCTTCCACCCAAGAGTTTTAAGAAAGATTATACACCCAAGAGTTACACCCAAGAATGTTCATTTACATAAACATTCAAAATAGTCAGCTCCTATTTCTATAAGTGACTGAAACCTTGACCCCAAGGCCGTGTTAATGCAAAGATGATCAGAACTCCTTCTGGAACTGTGCTGAGTAGCAGACTAACAAGTCTGGGACGGTGAGGGGTCGGAACAGGCGGTCACCACCCGGCCAGCTATGGTTAGAATTTCCAGTGCTGTCAGTAGAAGAACCTGGCTTTCTGTCCCCTCGCAGAACGGACTCCAGCATCGAGTATGCTGTCAGGGTTTCCGTCTCACACACGATAAAAAGGTTTAAAATAATAAAGACAGTATAACATTCACTGCCCCTCTCAAAGTAAATCAAAGGCCTAAAGCATGTCATCAAGCTTATTTGCAATAAAGCAAATCGTACAAACCTATAGTGACGTCAACACGTTCACATGACGAACTTCTGAAATGAAAGCCTGCCGTCACCTCAAATATAATTGATACTTCTCTACATTCACAACTCTTCCTAAGAGATACACAGCTACTCTTTCAACTTCTTAATTCAACTTCAAATTAACCTGAGGCATTACATAATAATAACTAAAAATTTTAGAATGGCCTCAATTCTTTTTCCCAAAAGAAATATATACCTGACAGACATTACATTCTCTCGTAGGAAAAAACGTATTAAAAATCGAGTTCCAGATCGCACGCCTGCAGACGGTCGACTCCCCACGGGCGCTAAGCCGCACCCCACTCTTTGGGTCTCTCACTGTGAGCAAAAAGCTTCCCCACCAACTTGGACACGGCTTGAACACAATTAAAACATCGAGTCTTTCGCCATTTTGCCCTTGTTAGTTTCGAAGGACCTCTACCACAGTATGGGCAAGGGGATGGCCAGAAATAAACGGTCTAAACAAGTATTTATTGTGGTTTAATGGCAACTTCAAATGTGACAAAACGTGCCAAAAATAACCCAGAAAGTTAGTCATGATTTTAAATGTCGAACATCTAATGCTAAAGACAAAAACCAAATGAAACAAGACAAACCAAAAAAGCCTTCTAACACACAAAAAATTCACATTTAGGAAAGAGTAAGACCAGGAGCATCTCGAGTGTGTCTGCCAATCAGACAATACTGCCTGCCACTGCCAGCTGACACCACGATTTTTATAATTTTTTCACTCTATAAACCGTTAAACACAGAGGGTGTAACCTGCATAAAATGTGGAACAAAATAATGCCAACGTTCCTTCATACGAGACTTGGAAAGAGACGCATTCTTCCCCTGATTTCATACTATCAAACACAGTATTTTCAGCAAAGCTGTCAGCACAATGAAAGTGGGTGTACGGGAACCGGCAGACCCACGGTGCTTCTAGCGAAGCCACGTTTTTCGACTGGCTGTGCGTGTGTGTTTTCCACTCTTCCTTCCTCGAAATGCTTGTTGAGATACAGGTAGAACGAGCCAGCTAAGACCCGTCAGCCCCAAGTTGCGTGGGTGTTAACGCAGCCACGGCGAGGAGCCCGACAGCAGCTCCAAGCGTCAGGGCCAAGGACGGTATCCACGCGAACTACCCGATACCCTAAACCAAGAAGCCCCAAACAGTAAAATGAGAATGAGTACCTGGCTGTGCCCAAGGCTGCTGCGAGAGGGTGTACCTGGGTCCTCCCTGACTCGCCATCGTCCTTAATGCTGACACCTAGCAGAAGAGACAAAAAGAAGACAGGTACCATTTCAGTGATGATGAATTAAACCAGTACGTCTCTCCGAGGACACACGGCACCATTCGAACCTATTAAAACGTAATGATAATCAGACGCGCGACCCAGAAAGAAAACGCATCAGAGCAGAACTTCACTCGTGATTTCAAGGCAAACGTCGTCTTGCAAAAAGCCACGCCGGGGTCCTGAGGCGCTGGGCCTGAAGCATCTCAGGGTGGGAAGACAAAAACGGCCGAGAGAAATGTCAACACAAAACAGGCCTCTGCTCAGGTGGACAGTTACGGTACTGTTAAATTATTACTGTACGTTCTCGGAAAAATGTCAGCAGCTAGACAAAACCTCCTTTATGTACCTAGAGGGTCCTTTACTATATCACAGGCAGACAGAATGTTTGTTATTTAAAAAAAACAAGATTTTCAAATAGCATCCAAAGGCACACTTGGCCAACAGTGCTGCGGGTGCGGACGTGGACGCCCATCTTCCAGTCACCCCCCTTTTTACTCCTCAGCATCAGTACAGAGAAGCAAAGCCGAAGCAAGGAGACTCGGTGCCTCAGACAGGACCGTTCCTACGACGGCGAATTATGGCGGGGTCAAGGCACAGCTGGGAAGGGTGAAGGACAGAAACTGCATAAAACATTTTTTGAGAATAAACTGTTAGGTGCCAAAGGTCCAGGCCACGACCTTGGCCTCACCGGAAAGTCTCATTAGCAAAGCTGGAGCACCCACTCTAGATTTCTCATAAAGAAGGACACACGAGTCTACGGCCATGCCACCCTGAACGTGCCTGATCCCGTCTGAGCTCGGAAGCTAAGCAGGGTCGAGCCTGGTCAGTACTTGGATGGGAGACCACCTAGGAAGATGGGGTGCTGCAGGCGTAAAAGATAAAATATAAGAGATTGTAAGATGACAAAGTCCTTGCGATCTGTGAGGTCAACCAAGGGTTGCCTCGTCTAAAAAAATAAATAAATAAAAAGAAGGACATGCGAACATTTAGGCAGAGGCACAGACAGCACGTAGCATTAACCGAAGCTCTGGCCTTCTCTCGCTCCCCGCCACGGTACCCTTCTCGGCCCCTCCGGGCCTTTGCTCACGCCGACGCAGGTATAAAACCGCCGCTTCCTCCTACTAACCTCCTCGTCGTGTCTCTACTTCGCATTGTGAGGTGCGACTTTTAAGAGCAAATCATACATACGATTCACATCAGACACTGCGAAGAGGAAAACACGCTCATGTTTAGTGCGGGGTCAGTGTTCACATGAACACATTTGGGTCAGAGAGTTTCTATCAGACTCAAAAACCGTTGGTAGTTTTTTATTTTCTGGAATGTCACTGTACCGAATATTGCTTAAAACAAACTCCTGAGGGGCTTGGGCTGGTGTGGGTGTCGTAGGAAGAGCACAGCAGCCGAGTCACCAAGATGCCAGCACTGCTCCCCAAATTTGCCCGCGTAAATAGGTAAACATACTAATGTGTCCACACTCAGGAGCACGGTGCTAAGAAAACTTTTTTCCCCGTTTGTCAAATGCCGGGCATTTTTTTGTATGCAACGATTGTTTTAATAGTAAAGACTGCCTATTCCTCCACTGATTGTTCCAGAATTTAACCAATTTCATAACAACATATACTTAGGCTGTAGATATTTATATATTAAAAACAAACACAAACTTGTATACCTGTTTCTATTTACTACCTACACAACATGTTTACCTTTAAGTTAAATCTTAAAGGTAAGATTAACTGAGGAAAATCGAAAGTTTTCCTCAGTCAGCCCCATCTTTTTTAAAACCTTTACAGGATGAACAAGGGGCCCAGCTCTGTCATCATGACACTGCTGAAGACATCTTACTGTTTACATATTCTCTGTCTTGATTTCCCAGTAGGTTATATAACCCTACGAGAACAGAAATTAAATTTAGAGGTCAAACTCTATTACGTACACATCAAGAAATAAACTTAAAGGTATAGTGTTGCTGAGGAAATTAATAACACTCCAGAGGGAATATTAAGAATAAACTTGCAACGCTTTAGGAAATTGTTTGAAACAAAAGGAATATTGCTAAATACAAAGCTGAGTTTTCGGCATAAATTAGTCCTAGCAGGGGAAACGCTTTTAGCTACAAACTTGAGATTGTATTTCCTTAAAATGCTCTCAGATTTTTTTGCTAAAGCAGTATCTTCACTTTAGATGTGTCATATTTTACTATAAAATAACATTTTATAGTTATTACAGCTCTTACAGTTACAAAACACATTTAAACGTATTATCTTCTTCTGATCCTCGTAATAAACTTAGTAAGGAGGAGGGCGGAGGGCGGAAAACCGAGGCTGAAACTCGCTGACTCGCCGGCCTCGCCCGTCAGGAGGCGCGGAGGGGCCTGGAGCTCAGCTTCCTGCCCCAACTGCTGTGCTCTTCCCACGACACCCACCAGGGCTACTTCGAAGTCTGTTTTAGGCAATATTCGGTACGATGACATTCTAGAACAATAAAAAAAACTACCAACGGTTTTTGAGCTTGACAGACAATATGTTACCCAAAAATCTTTATATGAACCTCCACCCCAACACTGAGAGCAGCATCACACTCCTTACGGCCAAACGCGGAGAGAAAACGTTATTTTTCCAAGGAGCAGGAAATAAGGCAATAGAGCACGTAGGTTCTAAAACTTATTTTGCTTTTCTCAAAAAAAATGCATGAATTGAACAAAAAAAAAATCAGGATGTTTATACTGGACAGATTAGAAATGTTTATCCTTGTGTATCCTCTGTAAAACTTGAGGTTCTCAATCTGTTAATGAACTTGTTTTCCTCACTCCAGTACCAAGGATGTAATGGGGATTAATGAAAAGGAAGCATCTCAACAAGAACAGCCCAAGGAAGGAGCAACATAAACGAAAAATCCAAAAAAAGAAAAAGAAAAAGAAAAAAGAAAAAGCCAACTTGGGGATCAAAATCAAACCTGAGTCTTTAGGCTCAAAAAGCAGTGTGAGAACCTCAGAATGTTCTCTACACGCTCACACGGTTTGTTTTATTATGCAAATCCGTGTATGTTTATAAAATCACCCCAAACTCAGGAACAAGCTGAGGACAGTCTGTTGATGGGATTTAACAATCCAGACTGTAACTACAGAGACCTATAAGCATCATCCAAATGAAAGATGAAATGCTGTTTCCTTTCTGTACCTGCGGAAACTGTTTTTCTTACCATCATTTATCAAGGTACAAGCACTGGTGGCCTTACAAACGGCTAACTATAGTAAAACAAGCACAAAATTCTGCATTTGCAGGTTTACCTTTAAAAAAAAATCACTTTAAAGTTTTTAAAACCTTTATGCTGTCTCTGCTATTCAGAACGGGAGTAACATTCACCAGGAAAAAGTGAAAACGTTTGCTCCGTAAATTCTAAGCAGCTATGTCCTAAATGATCACATGTCTAGTGCGGACACTGTATGCCTGTGCGTGTGAGTGTGCATGTGCGCGCGCACACGCACGCGTGTGTGGTGTATCTTTGCTCTGACTCGCTCTATGCCAACAGGACGGGAAGGGGCCTGAATCTGGAATAAGATAATGTAAAAGGGACGCACAGTCCCCTACCAAGTATTCTGACTGGAAACTCGGTGAGGGAAAAGGGAGGTCACCGTGAGTGACCTGAGCGAGGACGCTGCAGGTGAGGGGAGGGCGGGAGTGGCTTCTGAGGGACGATGAGAGGAGGGGCTGTCCTCACCGCCCCGCAGCGAAGGGAGTCTACGAAGATGTGTGAGGAGCTACACAGCGGACCCGGCGACACACGCGTGGCGTGTCCACGCAGAACCACTGTACGATTCAGACCCGCAGTATGTTTTCCACGTAAACCTCTAATGTTTGAAAAATGTCTGAAGTGTCCAGTCTTCCAAAACGCACGCTGTGCCAGGTTTACCGAACTTATACTAAGATCAGCTGGGACAATAACACCAGTGAGTTTTCATTCTCCTGATTTCAAGGAAACTGTACTTTTCTTTAAAAAAACAACAACAACAACAACAACAAAAATCCTTTAACCCTGGATTTCATTATCACCAACTTGCTTGCGTGGGAAGTTTCACTCTGCTGCTGTTTTTGCAAAGCCCTCATCTCAGCATCCCCACCGGCGCCGATGCGGATGCGGATGCGGATGCTGGCCCCAGACGCACCTGCAGCCTGCACACCGGCCCCCACGAGGACGATCTCGGCAAAAACTATGACGACTCGTCTGTAAACTGCAAAGCATCAAAGCCTGTACCGTTTTTTAATTAAAACCTGATAGAAAACATTTCCACTACCTTCTTTCTAAATTTACGTGGTAGGAAAAAAACTCGTCATACACACACATTCCAAGTACTTGACATGCATGGACTAAAGTCCACTAAACGATTAACATACTCCAACAGGAAGCGGAGAGCAGTCAGCCTGGTTTTTAACGTTTCTGTATTTGCTTTTTTGGGTACTACTTTTATAGTTAATATATTGGTTTTATCATAGGCTTCAGGCACATCCGTGTCACTGGGTCCAGCAACAAGTCACTAACAAACGACTTACTTAGCTGTCTCCTCTGGTCACTTCATACATACATCCTGTCTACCCGGTTAAGACTCAGATACGTAAATTTGAGAGAAAAGACTGTGATGTTTTTATTTTTTTATGATGTCTTTTAATATATGTATGTCTGGACGAGCAGTGAAGGCTTAATAAATTAAAGTTAATTTCAAGACTTTTTAAACATCTCTGAGAAAAGTTCTTAGTAACAGCACTTAAATTTTTTTTTTTTTTAATGATTAGGTTGAAACAGAGACGTCAAAGCAGCCATGATCTGAATGTTTCACTGCTGGCATTAGCCAGCTGATGAATTTTAGCTCAGAGACAGAGAGAGAGAGAGAGACAGATAATTATAAACCCATATATCTGGTAATTAACAATGCAATCATAAAAAACCTTCGATTCTTAATTATCCATGCAAAAAAGAAGGGAGAGATAGCATGTAAAACAAAGAGGAAAATACCCACCCATCTGAGGAACAGGAAACCCTGACGGGCAGGACTGTGATTACTGCCACGTGGGTGCGAACCCAGGAAAAGTGAGCGTCCCAGACACACGCACGCGCCCGCCACGTGGATAAACAGAACACGGCCCCCCAGAGGTCTGCTGTAACTAGCTTTGCACTCTCTCTTAAAGCTAAAAACTCCACCAGCCGTTTTTACCTGAAAGTCCAAAATCAAGCGCGGTGACTTCCCAGACAGAGTCACTGAGACCCGGGCTTCCCACCTCATCCTGCCAGAGTGCTCACCAGAGAGAAAGTCCCTGAACAGGAAACCCAGGGCGGAACTCAACCCCCCCGGGACCCGCGCGGCCCGCACCTTCGCCATGAACTGCTCCAGCGGCTCCACGAACTGCACAGTCTGCTGCTGGATGAACTGCTCGCAGGCCGATTTCAGGTGATGGTCCACGTCTTTTTTGGAGTCAAGATAATGTTCTCTTATCTCGGGAGTGCCCTTAAAAAGAAGATGACAATTTCCTCCCGTGTTTATGTGCCTGAAGTTAGCAGACGTGTAAAGAATGTCGTTTGACCTCCCACCACCAATGAAACAGACTCCTTCTCACCTCCAACAAGAACTCTATCAAGGCATTGTTGCTATTCAGCCTAAAAAACCGTGGAACAGTCATAGGGTTCAGGATTTTAAACGCTGCATCTGTGAAACAAAATTACTCATCCGGTGAACAGGTACAGTTTCAACAGAAAAGCCGAGCTACTGTTTCAGAGTGTCAGCAAACCCTGGTTCTGGGACCGCGACCCAACAGCGGTTTCGTCGTCACCGCGCCCTCTCGGATGGGGCGAGACTAGTGCCAACCACGGCTACGGCGCCCACGCCCAGTCATCTGCCAGACGTCAGAACTGAGAAATGACTTCTAAGCTTACTTATGCATTTATAGAAAAACGATAAACGGTAATTGACACCCTAAAATGTCACGGCTTTACTTTTAGGACGCTAAAGAGGTTTTAAAAAAAGTATTCATATACTTACCCAACTTCTTTTGTTATAATCCTGGCTGGCACGGAAATTTATTCATTGGAAGCAGACTGAATAAATTAATGTGTCAGCCAGAGAGAAAACACCAAAAGGACATATTTACCCCTTAACCTCCAGACTAACTAGAATCTCTGCAAAGTATTCACTGAGGTCTCATTGATGTTCAAATGCAATAAGATACGTTAGTCATGAGAGGTTAGAGGCTTTAAAAGTAAGTACAGCGAGTGTTATTAAGTGATAGAAAAGACCATTTTCTCTGCTTTGCTTTGCTTTGCTTTGCTTCGCCAGACTGGAGAAAGCAAAGCATGAAACACTTCGAACCCCAGCTTCCCCGCGACAGTCCGACCTGCCTGACCCTGACCCTGACCCTGACCGTACCGAAGAGACCCTCTCCACCAGATCAGGGTTCAGAGCAAAGCTTTAGGAAATGGCTCTGTTTCTGCTCTTTTTCTACGATATATCTGAAAGTGTGTCCGCAATAGAGAGAATCAAATCACCACAAGGTAGGCTGCATGAGCTTCATAATGTTTTAGGGAAAACATACTTTAAACCGAAATTTGCCAAAATTTTAGGGTATTTCGTTTTCTCACACGTCAGTGCATCTAAACTAGGACCTGGCAGCAGCAAGTTATGAAATTTAAAAAAATGAAAATTCAATAGATCGGCCCTGCTTTATCCCATCGTTTAAATAAAGTACGGGCCATTGGCACCTGGCATCCTTCAGGGCGGGGAGCATATTCCCACAGCTCACATCTCTGAAAGGTAAGGAAATCAACTAGAATGACTGGCACGTAAAAGCCTCTGATGAGAATGAGCTCCGAGAAAATCATGTATTCTCTAAGGGCGAAAGCCAGGAGATGTGGCTGCTGTTAAAGAAAAAATCACAAAGCATATGAATGACACACAGGTGCACTCTCCAAACTCCAAGAGAACTAAAAGGTCCTCTGGTGGAAAGGAGAGAGCATTAGGAGAAGGGAGAACCTTCTTACCATGACCCACGACGCTGGCTCTCGGGGGAGTTAAATCAAGTCTGCCAGGTCCCAGGCAAGGCCCTTAGGGAACCAGCGACCTGCTGCCCTTGGGAGCCCTGGCGCTGCGGCCCCACTGAACCACAGGGCACAGAAAAGAGTCGAGTCGCTGGATCTTCTCGCTCCCCCGATACATACGAGGGCAGTTGGCTCGTTATCTAAGTGAATGGCTAACGTCATTGGAGCTTAATTCTCTTGAAAATGGTCGTTTAGGTAAGTTTGTAAGTAAAGCTAGTTTAGATAAGTTTGTAAGTAATTACAGGAAATGGGGTATTCCTGGGGTATGCTCGTCACTGCTTAAGATCAACATCTTAAAGAACCTAGAATCATCGCTCATTACTTCAGCGGACGCAGCGTCTCCCCCGGCACAAGCCCGTGTGCTCTGAGGTCTGACCACCTCGAGATGACCGCTTAACTGGCCGAGTTAACAACGCACGCATGTGCGTTTAAACGCGTGCGTGTACAGAGCACTTTAACGCATGTTTTCGGTCTCGATGATCTGGACTGACCTCGCTAAGCTGGGAAGGTATCGTGACACGTGGATTATGCGCACTTTACCTGGGGGACAGAAGCGAAAACCCCTGTCCGAGATCACACAAGAGCCGGGAAGTGACTCTCTGGGACTCGGATAAGCACTGGCTCGGCCCCTTTCACCCCGCTGGCTTCCTGAAAGTTCATGAACTGAAAAACTCAACTCGGTGTTTAAAATCATCCCACTAGCTGGCACTGTTAGCAGTTCTTACACTGATTTTTCATTTTCGACTGTTTAGGACCATGCATGGCAGATCTGAGAGGGTAATGCTGCCTGACAAAGTGACATGTTCCGATACAGCTCCCTTCATAAAGAAAACGCAGCAAGGTAGACACCATTAGGATGCCGACAGCTCAGCTTAGAACGAGTAAGGAACATGCTTATTAGCAAGCACGGCATGCAAAACCATTGCAGATGAACATAAAGTAAACCTGTAACCTGTGCTGACACATTTGGACAGGCAGGATGCACCCAACTGTGCCAGCCAGGACAATGAAGTACCTCTAGTTTTCTTGAGGTCCAGGGAAATTTCCTTAATGGTGAATTCAGTGTGAAATGGAGCGATTTGTTCACGAAGAATCAAAAGATGCTTTATTAAGAAAAGTTGTCCATCAATACGAGTCTGAATTGTAAGACAGAAAAATGAACATTATCTCAGATTAAATAAAAATACGAGCATGTAAAACACAGACGTTATTAATCAATATTAAATATTATGTTTATAGCGCTTGACCTAACTTTTTGACTCTTAACTTTACGGCACCAACACTCCTTTGTGGGCAATGAACTCTCCCCACAGCTTCCAGGTTAGACTTACCTGGAAAACCTTGCTTCAAACTCTTATTAACACTGTCACCTGCTCTACTTAGCAAATCCAAGAAAGTAAATCGGACAGGAGGCTGTCAGGCAACACAGCCCACGTGAACTTGGTGCAGGAGGAGAGATCAGGCAGCCTGACGTGGGCACAGAGCAGGCAGGGGAAGAAAAGTTCAATGTACACGTGTGGTCCTGGCCTCTCTCGCCTTTCTAGTTTCTCTTCCGTAATGTGGCCTTCAATATTTGATCAAAGCGGTTTCGAAATCCAGAAATACTCGTATTTATACAAAAATACAAAAGGAGCCTCCAAATGCACAATGATTCGGGGTCACCATCTGGATTACCCTGCCACCAACAGAGCACTGACCCCCTCTGCCCCTGAGAGTCCCTGCCTTTCCTTTTGCCCTCTCAGGGCCCATCCACAAGAGTCTTAGGGTTCCAGCGTAGGCCTCAAAGCCCCGGCCCAACTCCCAAGTGGTGGATCATCACAGCTTTCAGTGCAGAAACGGGTGTGTGTATTAACAACAGCAAGGCTGTGTTTGCTCCTTCTTGCTGCTACTCGAGATAGGACCACCATGAAAATGCCTCTAATGAAGTTATACCACATTAGGAAAAGAAGGGAGGGGCTATGGAACAACGTGACTCCTCCCTGCTCTCTCCCCCCAACTTCTAAATAAACGCATAATCACTATGTGAGCATGCCTCGACTGATGGAAACTCGCTCTGCACTCTGGACCACACAGCATTAGGTCCACGCATTTTGAATACTTGCTCTATTTTTAAAAGAACTAGCAACTCCAATGGGCAAAAATAATATAGATTTAATTTATTTTACTAAAGCTCTTGTGATCCAGGAAATGTACCATGTTAGTTTACAGATATACAAGATGCTCAATTTAAGTACGTAAGAACAATTTCTTGCCTTAAAAAACTAAGACATTAAGTGATTATTTTCACTGATCACGTTTTAAAAAGCTGAGGAAGCATTTGAGATGTGGCTCCCCAGAGTACGTCGTCAGTTTGGCTCAAATAAACTTATAAAAACGCTCTATAGGTCTGGACGTCTCTTACGCAGATGTTTACTCGGCGTAGTCGGCAGGGTTCTGACGAGCCCAGCCAGGACCACCCTGGGGACCCCGGTGCCAGGTACAAGGGCACATTGTCACTCATCAGCTCCCCGCTTTGCATCGGGTGAACTTGGCCGAGCTTCTCCTGGATTTGCAGTGTCCCCGCTTTAAGCAGCAGGCCATGACTTTATTTGGCCTGTTCTCGGAAGATCTCTGAGGTGGATACGGGCTGAGATAACCCTGGGAAAGCGGGGAAATGGGCTGCTGCATTTCATTTGTCTTTAACTGGATTTGCTTCCTAAGTCTGAACAAAATCTTTGCTGGCTGATGAGAGGCTGAACTCTCTTTAGAGCTGAAAGAGAAAGGACACATGAGTCCCCAACCTGAACAGCCAACGGGGTGACGATAATGTTCGGATCCCTGAATCTGGAGGGGCGGGGATGCTGCCGGGAGCCACCCAGCGTGGTAATGAGCCGATCCCAGAGAGGCCGACGGCACCCCGAGAAGGGGCCCTGGAAAGCGTCGGGGATCCAGCAGCGTCCGTGAGCTCTCACCGGCCCCTTCTCGGGCGGGGTGCTCTGGGGTGACTAAGAGTCTCAGTGGGGCTGCCCAAGGAAAGCTCCTCCTGGGGTGTAAAGTGGCCCTACAGGAAGATCCACCCCATGTGACTCCTCCGAGATGGGCACACTGGCCTTTCCTAGCAGTTTGTCCAGACGCTACGCATCTCAAAATTCACACGCGAAATCCTGCCTATGGCGACGAGCCCCACCACAGCCAGCACCCTGTTAATACCGAGATGGCCACGAGGCGGACCCTTTGATGCTTCTGAATTAATCTTCTGCGCACTCAATTAGAAAAAGCTGGCTATAAAATCAGGCAGAAAGAATGAAAAGCATATTTAATTGCTCTCGGGAAACTTCAAAAAGAGGATTTAGATAAATGGATCAACCTACAATGTCATTTGTCAACCCAACTCTTTGAGGTATTAAAATGGCTGTCCTTATTTCAAAAGGGAGAAGAACATTTGGAACTTGATTTGTCAAGGACAGACATAAATTGTCAAGGTCTCCAACACAAAATTTGGACCCAACTGTTCGCTGTGTCCATCTGTGTATGTCTATATGTGTATGTTGAAATGGGAGATAATTTTCTACCTCCGCAGTATTGTTAAAATTAACTTAAAGGCAAGTGCTTGTAAGGATTGGATGTTTTAAAATTCTCAGAAATATAGGAACTAACTCAAAAGCTTTTCAAGTTCACGTGATTTGAGATGAATCCTTAGAAAATAAAAGCTAGCTTAAGTTTGTTGGTGTTAAGTAAAAGAGACATGCCATTATTTTACATGGGTTTTACAAAACTCCATGTTAATAACTGACTTTGACATTTAGGAACTGTTTCTACAGCTTATAAAATGTCTTCGAAAATTTGCCAACCTAGAGTGCTAACTGCTGACTTCTTAGTTTTTATTACAAATTGAGGTTTTAAGGGTTAAAATCTCTAATACATGTAGGAATAACTTTGCAGTGTTCTGAAAGGCCTCAAAAGATTTGTTTTTTATGTTAAACTGCATGAGAAACATTGTAAAAGACGTGATTAAAAAAAGTCTAAGGTAAATTACATGCATAAACAATGACTGTTAACTAAAGAGTCGAGGCTCTGGCTCCTCCCGGCCCCCCGCACACCCCATTGTTCGTTTTTCTGCATTCCTTCATGCATCCCATGCATTTAAGCTCAACTTTAGATGAAGGAGCTCACGAGCCCACATTTCTGAAAGGAGACCCACACTACTGCCGAGGTGCGATAAAACGCCAGGCTGCCAACCGCGTCCGTCCACAGCGAGCTCCCAGGAGACGAAGACTCAGGTCCTGGTTTGCAGAAAGGACGGCAAATAAAGGACACTGTCCCGCCCGGTTCGAAGGGAGCTCATCAGGCCCCGACATGAATGGACGGCCAGCCCCGTCTCTGACACGTGGCTCTGCCTACGACGAACGCCAAAGGCTCCTCGGGGACAGGAAGCCACTGACACCAGAGGCAGACAGCTATCCCGAGACGGCGCCACGCCGGTTCAGCTACGGACTGACACCGAACTCAGAACCCA